TTACAAATAAGGAATCCTACTTCGCGGAATTTCATTTATCACGGTAGGGTCTAGAACCGATTAACCGCGATAAACGAGGGTTCACTGTACAAACGGAGCTCCAGGAGAGCAGGGCTGGGTCTGGCGTAGCCTGGGGGACACCAGAAGTGAATGACCCTTAGAATAAGATCTCTCGACTTCAAGGCTATGCCTACCTGAGACCCCTCTCTCCTTCCCTTCCCCTGGTTCATGCCTCATCTTTAATGTGGGTGGGTACTCCACCCCATCCTCGTCCTTCCAACCTGTACGCCCCCGAACTCTGGTAGTGGAGGAGGGACCACTCCAAGAGCCTGCTGGACAGTCAGGTGCCCAGAGGTGCTCCTCGCCATGACCAGTCCGGGCACTCCCAGAGCCACGGAGATGAGCGATGGTGGTGGGAGGGCAGACAAAAAGGAGTCTGCATGCTGCCGGGGACCCAGCTCTGAGGGATGAGGGGGGTGAGTCCTCCCCACCTCCCCCACCCTGTCCCTCACGCGCTGACCTTCTGGCCATCGAGCAACACGCGGTCCCCCAGGCGCAGGCCCAGCGCACTGAGCATGAGGTTGCCCGGGACGTTGTCGTAGTTGGGCAGCGTGACCTTGGGGAGGGCACAGGACAGTGGCACCGCCTCCTCCAGCAGGGTCCGCAGCTCCTTGGCCACCAACGCTGCTTCTGCCTTGTCCAGGGACATATCCATCGGGTCTGGGACCACCTCGGCCGGGACCTGTCCCTTCCGGTTCTGGGGCCCAAGGGAAGAGAAAAGGTTGAGACTGAATCACACAGGCAGTACCTCCAGGGAGGCCCAGCTCTGTCCAGAGCGCTGGCATCTGGGATGACGCTAAGAGGAGACAAGGTGGCCACGGTGGGAATAAAAAGGGACCGGTCACAGAGGTCCAGGCCACATCCCCGGAGGAGTGTATACGTGAGCCCTTGACTGGGGATGTGTGTCGGGGAATTGAGGGTGGGACAGCCATGAAGCTATTAGGGAATGGGAGGCCACGCCCCCAAACTCCAAGGCTAAAATGGTGCCACTGGAGACACAAGTACTGAGCGTGGGCTCGTGTGCTACAGGGTCAGGGGTCAAACTCGGGGCCTCTGGGTAATCAGGGCTTTGCGGGGAAACAGCATGTCACTACAAAATACCCAGGCCCAGAACACAAGCAGATTGGTCTGGGAGATAAGCTTTGTGACACCTGCATCGGGAGTCAAAGCTCCTATTTCTAAATGAATTCTGGGCAAGTCCCTTGATCTCTCAGCCTCAGTTTGCTCTCTGTAAAACCTGTTTTACAGGGCTGTTAGCACAGCCGGCTTCACGGGACCCTCCTGGGCGCCCTCTCCCCTCCACCCCCCATCCCTCGGTTGAACCCTGCTAACCAGCCCAGGGGCAACGGGGCAATGGGGCAAGGCCAGGACACAGTTACCCTAAGTGCGGGGTTGGCACCATGCTCCAGCAGACACTTGGCGGCGCCCAGGCACAGGTTGGAGGCTGCGATGTGCAAGGCTGAGCCGTGGTTGAAGTCAGTGCACGTGGAGTTCACCACTGGGTGGGAGGCAACAGAAGGGCTTGGGCTGAGCAATGACACTGGGGATACAGAGCCCCACCCACCCCAGGGCCCCCACCTCCCCCTTCTCTGCTGTTCCCCTAGCCGGACGACCCCTGAGGAACGTGGTGGCCCCGTGCCTCCCCCCACCCCCACCTCACCAGGCTTCAGTTCTGCCCATCAGCTCTTGCCCTGCCTCCTTCACAACTCCCCCCGACCCATCGGCTCCATCCAGCCCTTCTCCCTCTGGGGGGCCCCACCTCGTGGCCTGGCCCCCTTGAGGAGCACGCGCACCAGGTCCGGCACATCGAAATAGGCCGCGTAGTGAAGTGCGTTCATGTTAGTCCAGCGGCTGCGCAGGGTCACGTCGGCCCCCAGCGCCAGCAGCTGCTGCGACAGGCGCACAGCCGCTGCGGGGTCCCCTGTGTGATGGTCCTCCAGGTCAACTTGAGGCCCCTCGCTCAGAACTTGGGCCCCAGGGCAGGGGGAGGACCCGGGCCTCAGGGGTGGCATTCTGGGGGCTCAGGCTCAGATTGAGAATGTGAATTTAGGATGTGGGTTTGCAGGGTGTTGTGGGGATCTGAGAAGTGGGGATCTGGGAGTCGGGGCCCTCACCAACTCCATGGGCCCCCGCCTTGCAGGCATAATGGAGCAGCGTCATGTCCGTTAGCCCATCCCGGTCATTCACATGACAGCCTCGATGCAGAATCTGGGCGTTCAAGACACAGGGTTAGCCAGACACTTGGAGGGCCCTTCCCTACCCTCCTGGGCTTGCCCGGGGCGCTTACCTCATTGCCAATGACATCAATCTTGTGCTGCACTTGGGGCACCCACTGGCGCACAATGGCGAACAGCTCGGGGATGGTGGTCTGGGGGTCAAACAGAATCTCCTGGCACGCCGGGTCATTGGGGTCGAAGAAGGTGAAGGCTGGGGTGATGAGAGCCAAAAGTCACTTCCAGCAAGTTGACCATCCTGAGGCAAGGGAACTTGAGGGTTTGGCCTCTAAGACTTGCTCACATAGGGTGGCCCATGGGCCAGTGTTAATCCGCAGGCACTCTTTGTGTGGCCAGTATAAGGTTTTTACATCGGGGCATTTCACATACACATCTGGACATATGTTCACATGTGTCGTGAAGAGCAGGAGGGTCAGACAATCCCCGGAGAGCAAGCCCCACCCCTCGACACAATACAGCAACAAGGAGCCCAGACTCTGAATACCAAAGGGGGCTGCCACGGCTCTGGCCCACCGCTGCCTTCTCAGAGGGTGGGCCCCGTTTGTCTGAAGCTATTAAGGACACATGACAATGCCAGAAATCTTGGCTTTCCAGGAAAGTCTCCCAAGTTTCTAAATTCTTTGCAGTCCACAGAAAATGTCCTTGTGCGCAGGATCCAACCCGTGGCCAGTGAAAGCCACACCCAGGGGAGCTGCCTCTCCCTTGGAGAGACCCGAGGGGTGGGAGCAGGGGTGGGCGTGGTTGCTCTCTGTGACTTGGGGCAGGAACGCAGTGGGTGATGCGTGAGGGAAGGTGACAGCTGGATCACAGAGCTCAGGGGTGTGCCAGGTAGGCAGTGTGACCAGGGATTAGTCCCCGTGCTCCCTGTAAAACCCAACTCATGCTACCATCTGCCTTGACGCAGAACCTGCCCCTGGCTTCCACTGCACTCAGAATACAAACAAATGTCCTTCCCGGCGCACGCACACAGGCCCTCCACAAGCACTCCCCTCTAGACGCACTGGCTCCTCTGCCCCTCGGTGTGCCGGGACGTTCTACCTCCTGCCAGCCTCTGCCCTCGCTGACCCCCACTGCACGAGGAAGCCGTGGGGCCTTCCTCCAGGTCTTCACAAGGCTGTGCAGGCCTCGCTCACCCGCCTTCGCACAGCTCTGCTTCAGCTAACTGGTCGACTCCTCACCCCTTTGTCCCTTCCTCTCTTCCTCCCCCCACTGCCCCTTTCTCTCCCTCTCTCTCCTCCTTCAGCATCGACTCCCTCATTCGAATGTGAACACCATGTTTCTTTTCTGCCCTCCTCACTGCCTCATCCCCAGTGCCTAGAAGTTCCCAGGTCCCTGTGGGCCTCTGGCCCCCAGCCCTGGGTCTTGGCTAACGACAAGGGACTCCCATTCCCCAGCAGAGGGCCCTTATGTCTGTTAGACCGGCTCGATTTCGACTGTCATAGTACAAACGGACACATGGCTCCTTCATAGAGCCCACTCTAGCCGTCCCTGTGCCCTAAACCACACTTCCAGATTCCTTCACACGGGAATCAAACCCTTTGTGCTCTTCAAACAAAATTCCTTGAGAGGGAGTAGGGATGCCCTAGCCTAGACCTTCTTCCCATGGACCATAGACTCCCCCATCCGGAGCTCCTGAATTTTTTTTTTTCTCAATCAGACTGACATCAATGTGTGGACTCTTTCAGTCACCTCTGCTGGGTAAAGTGCCCGCAAATGGCATCCTCCCTGCCCCACCCTGGCAGGTGCCTCCTCTCCAAGCCTCACCATGATTGGGAACCCTCAGCCAGGGTCTTCTAAAACTTCTCCTGTACCCAACTCCGGCTGAGTTCCAGAGCTCTCTACTCAGTAGCCAGAGGGAGCTGTTACCAGTATACTCTAGGTCTCAGCGGAGGTACCACCTCCTCAGAGTGACCAGACCGGAGCACGGGGTCTCCAGCAGCTGCCCACCAACCGTGTGCTGGCCTGTCTACACCTGTCCTTTCTTTCTCAGCTCGCCCCATCCAGATGCAGCTGCTGTTTCTGTCCACCTGCTTCTCCGCTTCTGGCCTTCTCTCCTGAAAGCAGGGATCCTCCTGGATCACTCACGATGAAACAATGCCCATCACCCAGCAGAAAGCTTCTCACAGAGTGGCACTTGGTAAACACTGCATGATTGGACATTTTCCATCTCTGAGGGGCCACCCGCTCAGCTCCACGCCCTCCCACCTCAGGGTCCTTGCTCCAGGGCTCCCTCTCCTGAGATTCCCTTCCTCCCTCACCTTTACCCAGGCTACCTCCCAGTTCACCCTCAGACCCCTTCAAATGTTACTGCCTCATGGAAACCATGTCTTAATTAAAAGCAGAAAAACTACCTTTGCTTACTCCTGTTCTTGGTAAATCGATACTCCTCAGGCCTTGTAATTAAAAGATTTATCTGTGTATGCTTATTTGTGTGTTTGTTATGAAAGCCTATGAGTTCTCGGACAGACAAAAGTGGGGTCCCTCTGTCGCTGTGCTATGGCCCCTGCTCTTAGCCCAGAGTTGGAGGTCACAGCAGGTTTTCAGCTACTGTTTGCTGCATGACCAAAAGATCGAATGCCCTGTCATGACTCAAAGATTAGGGTTATCCCAATTCCAGCCCCCCAGTAGGTAGGGGGCGTTCACCCTTCCCCGCCCCCAGAACCCCTCCACCATCACCTCCAGCCCAGCCTCCCTGCCACTCAAGGCTCCAGGCCAGATTCATGGGTGTGGAGAATGGTTACCATAATCCTTGGGGAGCGGGGCTGGCGCCGAGGGGTGCACCACCGGCTTCTGCCTGCGCTCCTGGGTGGGGCTGGGGACCTCCGGGGCGGTCTCCTCCTCCTCCTCTTCCTCCTCCTCCTCTTCCTCCTCTGCTCGGGGCGGTGGGACCATGGGGGCAGGATCTGTCTTCGTCATGGTCTTGCGTGGCCCCTGGAGGGGCGGGGGTCCAGCTGGGGCGGCCTGCAGGCAATCCCTGGCGGCAGAGACGGGCTAGAGAGGACAGTCCCCGGGTTCCGGGGTCCCAGCTCCCAGAAGCTCCGACCCTCCCCCATCCCTCCCCCGGGCCTCCGCCCCCCAGCCGTGCATCCAGAGCGCCCCGAAGGGGCTCCCGACGGGGGCTCCCACTCCCCACCCGAGGCCCGGGTATGTGGGCCCAGCCCCCCATTCTTCTCCACCCGCTCCCCGGTTTGTTTATCTCAGATGCAGGATGCTTCGCCCCTCCCCTTCTCCGTGCGGTGCTGGGCGCCGCACCTTACCTCCGGCAGCCGGGGCTGCAGTGCACAGCCGAGACCGGGCCGTCCGTGGGAGTCACGGGGCTCCAGGGATGTGATGGGAGGCAGAGAGAAGGGGACAAGGCCCCGACGCCTGGAGGAGATGGGGGTGGCGAGGGAGAGGCGCGACTGCGCATGCGCCTGTTACCCCCCACCAGGCGCGGGGGCGGAGATCCTGGGAGTCGCTTGCATTGATGGAAGAGGCTAGAGGCAGCGACGACGACGACACGACGGGACGGTGATGACACGAGACGACACGACGGGACGGAGATGGACACGGGGGACAGACGTCCACGGAGACGGCTGGGAGGCACGCAGGCACAGAGGCTCGAAGGAGACACAAGGACAGAAAACGAGGGGCGGGGAGGAGGGCCCCCACCCCAGGGCGTCTATCTTCCTCTAGACCTGAAAGCCTGACCGGTTAGGGCAGGGGTCTGTGTGTGTGGTAGTGGTTGGAGTTATTTCTCTGAGGAGGGACGTGATCGTGCAATGCTCATACAGCACTTGCGAAGCCCAGGGAAGGCAAGGCCCTTACCCAAGGGCCCACAGCAGGTGAGTGCAGGAGCTCCGATGTGAACCAGGCAGTGAGGCAGCAGCTGAGTTAGACCATCTCCACGCTCCATGGTCTCGGGGGTGCCTGGAGAACAGCCCTCAGAACCTGTTCTCTAGAAGCCGCATAGGGGCCCTGGCCTCCCTCACCATTGGACTGGCTTGGCCATTGAACTGGGCTGAGTTGTCTGCTAGGATGTGTCCCCACACGACTGATAATCACACGGGCTGAGCAGGTCTAGGTGGCTCATCAGTCTACTGGGCAATCCCAGCATCCAAAACAGATCCCGCCTCTGATGAGAGGCACCTGGCACCTCGGTCCATCTTCTGCTCTCTTCCTGAGGCACTATTATAACAGCCTCTTCCTCTACCCCACTCCCTGCAGTCTGTTCTCTGCAGGCAGCTACCAAAATGGCCCCTTCCATCTAGCCAATTCCAGCTCACGCTTTCTGCCTCCAGCCAATGCTGACTCATGGTGACCCCCTGTGGGGTTCTGAGACACCTGCTGGGGTGTTTGAACTGTCAACCATTCAGATTGCAGCCCAGCGCTTAATCACTACACCACCAGGGTATGCCAGCTCATAGTTGTTTTCAACTCACAGCAACCCTACGTAGGCTTCCTGAGACCCGAACATCTCTACAGGAGCAGCCAGCCTTGTTTTTCTCATTGTTTGGAGCAGCGGGTGGGTTTGACTGCCAACCTTTCCCAGTTAGCAGTCCACTGTCTAACCCACAACACTCTCAGGGCTTCTTACATGCACCCACCAAACAAAAACTGAACCCACTACCATGGAGTAAATTGTGACCCAGAGCAACCCTAGAAGACCGAGTAAAAGTGCCCCTGTGGGTTCCTGAGGCTGTAAATCTTTCCAGGAGCAGAAAAACCTCATCTTGGTCCCTCAACGTGGCTGCTGGGCTCAAACCGCTGACCTTGAGGTTAGCAGCCCAACTCAGAGCCCACTCTGCCACAAGACTCCACTGTTGAGATTTGGTTCCTTACTTTGCAGCTACAAAACCAAAAACCAAACTCATGTCATCGAGCCGATGCCCTCTCATGGCAGCCCTGTAGGACAAGACAGACTTGCCCCTGTGAGTGTCCAAGGCTGTACATACTGAGAGTCCCTTCCTCCCTCAGAGGGGCTGGTGGTTTTGAACTGCTGGCCTTTCAGGTGGCAGCCCAATGCATAACCACTATGTCACCAGGGCTCCCTCTGAGGACCTCCTAAGACTTATCAGATCAGGGTCCAACAGGAGGCTTCCTGTTGCTGCCCCTCGTTCCAGGGAAAAGCCAATGTCTTCACCACACCGGACCATGTGGGAACTGGCCCCTGTCGTCTCTCCAATCTCAAGGGCTCACCTTTCCCTGCAGGCCCCCTCACTCACTCTACCCTGGCTCTGCTGGTCCTCTGCTCTTCCTCACCCCAGCCCCCTTTCATGCTGCACCTTCCTGAAACGCTCGCCACCAGATACCTGCAGGGGTCCCTCATTTAGGCTTTTACCTACTAGTGTCTGGTCCATAGACCTTCTCTGCTCTCCTATCTGCTAATTGTACGTACACACACACACACACACACACACACACCTCTCTCTCTTCCCCGTTTTAATTTCATCCGCAGCCACAGTGCCCTCCTCGACTTGCTACCCTGGAGACTGGGGCTGTTGGCTTTGCTTGGAACACTACTGGCCAACACGCCTTCCTGGCCAACTGGTCATCCACGTCTCTGCTCACAGGTGTCTCCCTAGAGAAGCCCCCCATCCAAGCCTCATTTCCTCTCAATGATATTTTCATTTAATCTGATGACTTCTTGTTGGGCTCGGAATCCCAGTGGCGGAGTGCTTACAGGGTGGGCTGCTAGCTGCAAGGTCTGTAGTTTGAAACCACCAACTGCTCTTTGGGAGAACCCCAGGGCCTTCTGCTCCCATCAAGAGTTACAGTCTTAGAAACCTAGAGAAGCGGTTTGACCCTGCCCCACAGGGTTGCTAGGAGTCAGCATCGACTCTACTCAAAGGCAGTGAGTTGGCATCTTGGTGTACCGCTATATCCCAGCTAAGCACCAGGTTGGACCATGGGTTCAGTCGTGCCCAACAGAGCAAAGCTGGAACAGATCCCAATGTAAATCCTGGAATAGGAGACTTAGAAGAGGCATAGGATCCCTTCCTGGAACCTGGTGTATGACATTGGCTTATGGTCAGGAGTAGGGAGCCCTAAGGAGCCCTGGTGGCATAGTGGTTATGTGTTGGGCTAACCAAAAGGTCAGCAATTCAAAATCACCAGTCTCTCTGTGGGAGAAAGGTGAGGCTTTCTACTCCAAGAAAGATTAAGGGTCTCAGAAACCCACAGGGGCAGTTCTACCCTGTCCTCTAGGATCACAATGAGTTGGAATAGACTGGAGAGCCTGTGTTTGGTGTTTGAGTGGAGCCCAGGGTTACATACTGAGGTTACATACAGGTGATGCTGTTAAGTTGGCATTGAACTGCGGACGGCAAGATCAGCAGTTCAAACTCACCTGCCATTCCAAAGGAGAAATGAGGCGCCTGCGCTCATAAACATTTATCAGCCTCCGGAATTTTATCTGAAGATAGTAAGAGTGAGAATTGACTCCTGACTCGGTGGAAGTGGGTTTGGGGTGGACGGAGAGAGAATGGGATGTCATCACAGCAGCCATCTTTGCGTCGGGGGCTTGTGTTTCGGACTCCCTCGATCAGGAGATCGGTTGCAATGCACTGTGCACACTGCCCTGGTTTTCTGGAGAGGGCTCGGTTTCTAGCAGGGCTTCGACATATGTAATTTCCCCCCCCATTCCAGTTAACATGACCATTCACTCGCTCACATTTTAAAAACTCCAGTCCCTTGTGATGTTTGCTCCTCAACCATGACTGAGCCAGGATGAACCGGTTCAAAGCCCTCATGTGGGTGTCTCTTCAGAGTCAAATACAAATCTCCCTACACAAATTCTTGTTCTGCTCTAAGGTGTCTAACTGAGTGCATTCAAGCTGAGGGTGGCAGGGCCTAGGACCCAGGAGAATGGGATGACGGGTGTTCTAGGGACGAAATTCACTGCCACCCAGTTCATTCTGGCTCCTTGTGACCCTGTAGGACAGGACTGACCTGCCCCCATGAGTTTCCAAGACGGTCACTCTTTAAAGGGGCAGAAAGCTTCATCTTTCTCCTGTGGAGCAGCTGGTGGTTTCGAATTCCTGACCTTGTAGTTAGCAGCCCAACCTATAACCCTCTCACCCCCAGGGCTCCTTGAGAAATCCTACAATCAAGTGCCAAAGTTTCTCCCACAAACAAGCATAAGAAGGACAAAGAGGCCAATGCAGGTTTGTAACAAACCCTTCTGCACAAAGGGAACCTTGAAGATAAGGAACCCTGGTAGCATAGTGGGTTATACAGTGGACCACTAACCACAAGGTCAGCAGTTCAAAACCACCAGCCGCTCCTTGGGAGAAAGAAGGGGCTTTCTACTCCTGCCAAGTCACAGGCTCAGAAACTCACAAGGAAGTTCGATCCTGCCCTGTGGGGTTTCTAGCAGTCAGAAGCCACTTGAAAGGAGTGAGATTTGGGTGAGGGCAAACTTGAACATAGGTTCTGTTAGATGATATATGCAATTATTTTGCTAGCCATGGTCATGGTGATGGCTTTGCTTCTAAAAGGTATCTACAATGGGGCTGTGATTGAGTACCTGGCTGCTCACTGAAAGGTCAGCCATTGAACCCCCCGCCAGCAGCTCCATGGGCGTAAAGAACTGTGGATTTGCTTCCGGAAAGATGACAGGGCAAAGCCGTCTGATCACTTCATAAGAAGATAAGTGTGCAGCAACCAGGGGTGGGAGGGGGAGGAAAGGGGATAGTTATTGTTTATGGGTACTGAATTTTGGTTTATAGTCCAGAAAAAAATGCATTGATTAAGGGTAGGGCTACACAGCCTTTATTTATTCTTTAGGAGTTCAGCTTTTTCTTGAACATGGTACAAAAAGAGGCCTGGTCAAAAAGACCGAAGCCCATGTCATCATCACCCGCTGCCAGCTCTCCTGTCTTTGCCTCCACTTTGTTCTCCGCTGAGATGGCTACAGGGGAGGGAGCAGGCCCGCTGCTGGGTGGTGCCAACTGCTGGGACAGACCCACCAGCTCTTACAGTGCAGACAAGGCTCCCGATGTTGACATTGGCCAAGGCCTTTGTGAATAAGCCAGGCCAGAAAGTGCCAACATTCACCCCGCTGCCTTAATAAGGGCTTTGATCTTATCCTCTGTGAAGATCCAACAGGATGAGGACCCAGATGCAGGCGCTCTTGAGGCAGAGGCCAGGTGTGGGCGTGCGGGCTGGCAGCTGCTGGTGGCTGTTGGGCATGGTTCTGGTTGCCAGATAAAGGGAGGGCACCACCCCCAACTCAGCCTTAGCTTCTTCGGAAGTTGGCAGCTGAGGCAAGGACACATAGCCGATGGGTGTACGTGTTGTGGACAAGTTGTATATCTGTAAAAAGCTGAATTAACAAAAGTTGTGATCAGACCTATTTAGAACCAACTACCTCATGGGCTTTGGGTCTTGGGTTTGGAGGTCTAGGATCATGGTTTCATGGGGCATCCCGGTTAGTTGGCCTAATGAACTTATTTGGTGCTTGTCTATTCTATTTCCGGGATCATGGAGAAGTTCCTGCAGTCTTGCAAGCTTGCAAGCAGCCTTTGGAGGCTGAGCCCTTGGTCTCTATTCACCTGGAGCAACAGGAGGAGGAGGAGTCAGGAATGGGCTAAGAAACCAGAGGTGCGAGTGACTGCCCTGTGAACTCCTGCCTCCCCTGCCAAAAGAACTGGAGGTGCCTGGCTACTGTGACTGAACGTGTTGCTATGAAAGAATTCTGATCAATATATGAAATCAAGGATGGGTGGATCTAGAGACAGTAACTGGATTCATGGTTTCTTGGGGGTGTGGCAGGGGAAATTGGGGGGAAATGGGGAGCTAATAACGGTGAGTATAAGAAAAAAGAATACATTCTAAAACTGATGGCCGTGATGATTGTACAACTCTTCTTGATACAATTGAACTATTGAGTTGTGTGATATGTGAATTCGGTGCCAATAAAACTGTTTT